TGCTATACATTAGGGGGTGGGGTGGATCTCTGACTAGGGTAGGATAAATTTGAATGCAATGATAGGTATCATTGTATACGAAAAATGATTCTGAACGGAGACGGTTTATGTTTTTTATGAATTTCTAGGATAAAATAATTTACGAATTTTCATGATTTTTACGTATGTTGTCAAAATTAAAATGTGAATGCTTGTAAAAAAAATTGTGGCTATATATTTTTAATATTATTCAACTGCTGTTGTTACAATGTGTTAGGAGCCTTGTATTTAATTTTCAAATCTTGGATTTAAAAAGAAAAACTTTTATGAATTTCTATCTAAGATAATTTGAACATTGCTGTAATTTTTATGTATTTAGTCAAAATTTGAACTTTAAATGCTTGTAAAAAAAAAATCGTGACTATACAGTGTGTTTCCTTTTAAAGGTAACACTAAATAATTCTGTCCARTGACATCGGATTAATATKCGGATTTCGGGAGGGGATAGGGAATACATAAATACACATTTCTTGATGATTTTTACATTTTTAGATCTATCCGTGTGCGCATGCGCAATACAACTTGCATTTTTTTTAAATGGCAACAGGTGTTTTGAATACCAAATTTGGATAGACCGAATTTTTTTAAGTCGATTTGGTCCTTTTTACCATAGCTCTAAAATCAAAATTGACTAAATGGCAACCAGTCAAAGTTTCGATTAATATTATTGAATTTTTCACCAATCATACTAGAATTTTATGAATTATTATGAAATTTTATTTATTATTTTTGTATYCGTAATAGGTTTGCAGATATTATTAAATCGTTTTAATCATTTTAATTAATTCCTCAAAATTAAATTTAAATGATTTAATAATATCTGTTGGACGTTGTTGGACATTTGTTGGAATTTGTTGGAAAAGTTTAGAAAAGTTACGAGTCTTTGAAGTTTGTAGTGCCAAGTACATGATCAACACTACAAAGTACTCAAAACTTTTGAAAACAAAGTCCGAGTAGGAATTGTTGGAATGTTTTTGAAAAGTTTTGAGTACTTTGTAGTGCCAACTTCACGTACCTTGGTTAGCTACCTAACGAGTTGTTAAGACTTAAAATACAAATATAATTTTTCTATAATCATTGTCCACATAAATATATCTTGAGTTGCAGATAATTAGMATTTTAGACCGTTTAGTTGAAACATATATAGGCACAAGAAGTTTATAAGAAATTAAAAACGTTRCGCGGCTATAAAGTTATCTAGTTCCTATATTGTATAAACTAAAAATGTGTTAAATAATTATTTTTCCGTATTGTTTACCAGGAAAGTGGTGACTGAACGTCAAAGTTGTACACCTTAATYAACACATTATATGCCTATATAATATGTACGACACGCCCTGTAAAAAAGTGCAGTAGCCTAAAAACATAAATAATAATAATTACTAAACACATTCGTCGGAGACGCAATAGGCCTAGATGATAGTATGTTAAATTACGCCATGATGTGGATTCTATAATTACACGTCGTAGACAGAGTATTTTTTTTATACATAAGTACATATTTATATACTTACAACAGACGAGCTTACACACTCAACTCAGTCACTCAGACACACACACTAATTACAGTTAAGGTCTAGACGCATTCCTATATGGATCGGTAAGTCAGCACACGCGCAAACGCGTATTATACCATGTAATGTGCAAGTTTTATTATGCATTTGAGTTATACGATTCCATCACCTGCGAGGCTGTGATATATTACTATTCATAATTTCATTTTCCATTCTTCATTGCTGATCAGCATCTATAAAATTTGCTCTATAGGCTATATGACCTGCACCAGCGATTGTAGTAACAGCGAGTTCAACAAAAACTCAAAACCCCTACATCAAACACAAGACTTGAAACTCGGGTGTGGTCAAAAAAAAAAAAAAATTAAACGACAATTCATTATATATTTTTGACCGCGAACTTTCGGTAGTCATACTTCTGCCGCAGATAGACGACCAACCAGATATTGTAAGTAACAATTTTGAACGGTATTCTACCTAAAAGTCCGGTGAATATAAGCCCGACGAACATAAGTCCGGTAAAAAAAAGTCCGATGTAATAAAAGTCCGGTTTATTTATTATACATTTGTCGTACAAGAAAACATTAATGTTATTAAAAATAATAGCAATAATTTATAATACAATTATTACAATCAATGTTATAGGTAGATACAATAAAAATTAAAATATTACATAAAATATGACATTATAATTTTTTGGTTAGGAATTCATAACTCCGAGCTAAGTGTTGAAGAGTTTTTAACTCAAGTGGGACATAATATTAGGACACGGCCAAGGTGATAAATGTTTTCTTGTATGACATGAAATTTTATTTTTTTATATATTATTTTTATTTAAAAGTAACAATCAATCTGACCAAAAAATTATAATGTCATATTGTATGTAATATTTTAATTTTTGTAGTACCTACCTTAGGTAATATTGATTGTAATAAATGGAATTATAAATTATTGCTATTATTTTTAATAACATTAATGTTTTCTTGTACGACATACGTATGATAAATAAACCGGACTTTTGTTCACCGGACTTTTATTACCGGACTTTTGTTTGCCGGACTTTAGTTCGTAGATTCATTTTGAACATAACAATTGATAATATATGTTATATTATTTGTTATCGATATGTATTTAAAACTATAAAGTATGATAAGAGCATAATAATATAATATAAATACTGTTCTAAAATAATTTAACAACAAACTTACAAACTAGTACATAGCTTGTGGTGGTTCACTGTGGTTGTGCTAAAATTAAATTAAAATAAAATGCTAAGAAAACAGACACCGTATAACATAATTCCTTACTCTTCAAAATAGATTTATGAATTATCTAATTATCTACTCAAAAAACTTAACCTTCCATAAACATTTTAAAACTGCTACTCTATATGATCTAAAATAGAGTTTATAMAATATGAGTCGAGTGGGTTCAAACTTGTTCGTACTTTGAAAATGTTATAACTTGTATTGCTCTATTGTAAGATTAATTATTCAGGAGGAAGTTGATTAAAGTGGTGCAATGAAATCAACTTTATGACGTATACCTTATGCTTATTAAAAATTGAGCATTCCTCATAATTCAGATAATTATGTTAATGTATCAGCTCAACTCCAATGATCGTTGATATTTATTGAGCACAAGCAGGTACATTTTAACTCCTTAACATTGTCAACCACATATCAATTCACTGTCCAGAGTTATCATCGTGCCGGCATTATTCAATTTTAAAACTTCATCACGCACAATTTTACTTCTGCCCATTTTCTGATAACCTTCTATCCAACATCTAACTGTCATAATAATCATATTTATTAGGATATGGGGAATTCCAAAACTCAATCATTTCTTCTTTGGAATAGGTGGTATATTAATAAATGTAAATATATCTTGTTGACAAATTTAAATAATCCTAATACAATCAGTAATAATAGTATTTGTTTGCGCCCAGTGATAGGGACGCTGAGCCCCGGCCTCTACYGCCGTCAGGCCAGCCTACAATTATATAGGTCAACGGCCTATATTTGTCGCCGACCGATTCACACACACCTATCATTGTTTATTTATATTATTGTTTAAATTTGTATTTTGATTGTTATGTGAATTATATAATAGTAACTAACCGCAATCAGCGCTGCCAAACCACCATGAAAAATAGCACGGCCGCCGCAATTTTATGGCCTCCCGTCCGTCCGCGTCGTCCGTATAATATAAAAATTTTAGTATCTTCTCCAGCGTTGTCGTAATAACGCTCGTACGTGCGCTAATCGCCGCCGCCGTTGGCCTCTTATATTGTGTGTTTTCTTGGGCGCGAATCGCCACTTATATAGGTACTATATAGTGCGTGGGCGCGAATCGCCACTTTTATTAATTTTGTTTGGGCGCTAATCGCCACCCGTTGTCTTATAATATTATGTAGTGTGCGCTGAACGCCACTAGGTATTTCTTCTTATTTTTGTATTGGCGTGAATCGCCAAATTTTTTATTGTATTATTTTATATAGTGTGCGCTAATCGCCATTATTATTATATTGTGTGCGCACTAATCATCACCAATCATTTTTTATACTTAGTATTGCATTTTTGCCGGCGCCAATAGTCTAATTTGTTAATTATATGTTTTGTGTATTATATTTTCAATTATTTCGTGTTTGTGTGTGTGCAATTATTTATATAGGCTAGTTTAGGTAGCAGCTGGCCAGCCGAGTACCGACAATTATGTGAGTTATTTTATATTATCATTTTATTTTAAACATTATATTGGTATTATTACTATTATTATTATCAGCTGTGCCAAACTATTTTTGCCTGCTGGGCCAAAAGGGCCGTAACGCCCGTAAATATTATCTTTATTATCTTTTATATATTTTATTGTTGGGCCAGAAGGGCCGAAATTGTATATTATTATCTGTTGAGCCAGAAGGGCCGTAATTTAATTATTATTATATTTTATTCTCCATTACCAAATTGAGTTACCATTTATTTATTAGAGTTACCTGTTCGTCTAGTATTTAAGTCTCTACACACACACATACGCACAACACTGCACAACACCGCACACTAGCACTCTCCGGTTTGGCTCGGCGATTCCGTCCACTTCCCTTGAGTCGCTATATACACGTATACATAGTTACACAGGTCGGTCGGTGTGTGCGTGCGCTACGAAGTAGCTGGTGACCGGGCGCGCGTATATCCATTATTATTATACGCTCCCGGCCCGAACAGTATTTATACTACTTTGTTACCTTGTACTCGCAGTATTAATTTGGGCCTTAAAGTCTGTGTTGTAATATAAATAATAAATAAACATGATATGTTATATTCATATATTTTACATACTATGTACTATAATGTCCTAATTTTATTTGGGGTCCAAAAAATCAACAACATATGTCTATATAATATATTATGTAATATGTATTAATATAATAATAATAATATTATACATGATAATATTATTTTGCATATTACATGAGCTTACCATAAAATTTTTTTATAATGTCCGATCCCTTTTCAGCGATCATTATGGTAGCGGCATTCGTGTTTACCGAGACGACTTTGGGCATTATCGAGCTGTCTATCACCCGGAGACCACGCACACCCTTYACTTGTAGCATGGTGTCGACGACAGTCCGGTGATCGTGAACAGGGCCCATCCGGCACGWGCCCACTGGGTGATAAAACGATGTGGCAACGTTGCGGATCGCGCACACCCAATAGTCCCTAGTCCCCCAGGCATGAGCCACGCAGTCCGGAAACGTGACTGGTTCTAAAACTAATCCCGCGTCAATCATTGGTTTGGTTTTTGACAGTTTCACGACGAAATCGATTCCGCGTAGTAGCGTTTCGATCTCGTCATCGTGTGACAAGAAATTTGTGTGGATTTTCGGGCGCACCATCGGGTCACACGACCGTAGGATCACACGCCCGGTACTCCGGCCATCAACGTTAATCGGTACCGCGAGCACATTGTCGCTTAGCATGTTCAGTTYGTCGTACTCCGTAGACACTCGGTCTGAGTACCCGAATAGATTCGACATCCTGCTCCGTTTGTTCGGTGTGTTTCTCGTACTGTTGTACGGGAATCTAATGTATACGACCTGTATGTCGGCGTGTCCCTTGGACGCGGTGTCGACGAAGCTTACGAGATTTGTCAGGCCCATCGTTCCTACACCTCTGGATACTAAGTCGAACGTGGCCCGGACCAAGTCGGAGCTCTCTCGAGATATGTCAGCCCGGGATCTGTTCTTCCGGTCGCTGAACACGAGTCCAGCGAACGAAACATGATCCTGGTAGTTGTAGCCTACCGGCAAGTCACTAATTACGTGGATTCCATGTTTACGCAAGTGTTTCGCGGGTCCCACGCCTGATACCATGAGGATCTGAGGGCTCATGATCACGCCTGCGGAAAGTATCACTTCACGAGATCCATATACGCGTTTCGTTTGCCCTGACGGTGTGACGTACTCGACGCCCAACGYTCTGGTATAGTTTCCAAGATCGGATGTAGTGATTCGCTGCACCACTAACCGAGTCACCCTGACATTTTTGGCCACGAACAGATTTGGCCGTCTACTGGCTGGCAACAAGAATGCCTTGAGAGTGCTGCATCGGAGACCATCGCGCACTGTGAAGTCCATCGGGCCGTACCCTACTGCTGGGGGCGCGAACCGGTTAATGTCGTCCATCTCTGCTAACCGGAGCAATCGGTTGCCTTCGTTGACGGCCGAATATGCTGGGTCGATGGAAACCAGTGGACTGACTGTGAGTGGGCCTCCGCGTCCATGTGGCACCACGTCCCGCCGATCACCGCTACCTGTGAAATTCTCTGACTTGACGAAGTACGGCAGAACGTCACCAAACCCCCAGCCCGCGTTGCCTAGTCTCTCCCACTCGTCAAAATCACGCTTGGTGCCACGCAAGTACATCATGGCGTTCATGGAAGACGATCCACCCAGCATCAGGCCCCTGGATACCGTGGATCGGCCGCGTTCCAAACCCCCAAACAGGAGCGGTTCGGGTTCGGTGATGAACGTCCAGTCGACGTCACTCGYCAACGCTTCGCTGTATCTGAGCGGTATTTCCGTGTTTGCCGGTGGATCACCACCAGCCTCCAGCAGCAGCACATTCCATTCGGGTATCTCACTGAGTCGGGCCGCCACCGTCGCGCCGGCACTACCACCGCCCACCACTATGAAGTCGAACGTCACGTTATTGGCGTCCGTGAACAGCGTAGGACCGTAGTCGTCCGGATACATCAACGACAAAACTCCGTTCCATCGCCGCTGCTGCAGCGGGCTCTAAAATCAATAACAGACGATATGTTTCAAATCTATAGCCCAGGAAAATATAGCGAAAAAACAAGAGCAGGAAATCTGTGTCGAMACTCAGCATGTAAGTCATAAAAGTCACCTACGGTCGGATGACTGTCAGCTCCACCTAAGACCACTTTATGTCGGTAAAATCTGCTTAGTTTTAGACTAGATATGAAACTTTCAAAATAAATTCTATATAAGTGATTTCTTATAGAAAAATGGGTCTAAATATTTATTTTAGCGTGGGTAAAATATGTTATTTAATTTGATGATTACAATATTACATCAAAGTATTCATGATTTGGTTTAATAACGTTTTTAACGGATGCGTTTGTTCAAATTTTCAAAACATTTATATCTATCAAAAATATAAATTTAATGGTCAAATAATTAATAATTATTAACTTACCTGTATGATGTATATCAATTGTTTGCAATTGGACTTCAGTCCATAAGAATTAAATGCATAAATATATGCACATTGTTTCAAATTAACAACTAGAGTAATTTGAAATTATATCAGATATAAAAAAGTGTAAAATATGTACTAATACGTTTAATACTTAATATACTGGAATTCGCAAACGACTTATTAAAACTGAACCTAATATGCCTGGATTAATCGTTTATTCATGTGCTTGTTGCTGTTTTGGATATAAATTATTAATATTATTATAAAAACAAAGTGTATTATTGGTATTGYTCGTGTATAATAATATATCTACCTATAAACCTGCTGCATAACATATTATAAAACATATAGTATACCAAGCCCTACACTATAGTATTTTGACCATACTTGTATCATTGTGTGCATCCGAGAAGAAGTCACTCATTAGATTTATTCAATTATTTTTAGACTTACATAATATTTATCATAGCTTGTGGTTATTACTAAAAATATAAAATAAATAAAATATATCCTAATAAATAATAATACTTGGAGTATGATGTATATAGATAATATATACGGCGTATAATATATAGGTAATAATAATAATTGTTTTTTTTTTTTTTTAAGTTTATATTGATTGTTTTATTGGTACTTAAAACAAAAATAATAAACCAACATTAATATATTTTATGAACGTAAATAAATAAATCCTTAAACATATATCTATACATCTAGTACAGTGGTTCTCAACCTTTTTGGATTCGTGTCACACTTATCCACGAGAACCCAATACTACATTTYCTTAACATCAAAATAATAATAATATATATAAAAAAAATTCAGAACTCTTCTCACCCCTACATTGGATTCATGTTATCCCGGTTGAGAACCCCTGATCTATTATAATAATATAATAAATGTATATCAGTTAGTAGTTACATCTTACAACCTACAAACGTACCAATAGACTATAATACCGTGATAATACAAGCAGTGGAATAGAGGTGGGTGTGTTTTTTTTTTAACAGTAAAAAATTGTTTTACTATATTTGTTAATAATTATTAAATAAAATGTTTAACATCCACGAGCATAAATTTAACGTGATAAAGTAAAATATATGTATAATACATTAATACAACATTTTAWTAAAGCTGATTATCTGAATCGACAATTTTTAATTTTAGATTCTGAACAAATAATGCATGTTGTTTTTATTTCTGAAGACAGATTTGATAGAAAATACTTTGATTTTAAACTGTTATGGCGACCACGAATCTGGTAGTAAAGTGTATTTAGCTTGGGGGATATGAGGAAGAGAGTTAAAGTAAAAAATGTTTAAACAAATATGAAGATTAGTTAGAATTGTAATATTAGATTATTAATTTAATTGTTTGGTAACATTAGTTTGGTATAAGACATAACACAATCGAAATATATTTCACATAAAAAATTATAAAATAAAATTGAAATTGCAATAATTTCATAACAATAATGATAATAACAGACAATAAAGTTATTATTTATATTATATTTGTACTCACTAAACACAGCATAGTTATAACTGTCCAATAAACGAAYATTGTTCTGCGATGTCTTTCAGTTTACATATGTGAAGTGTCCGTGTATAATGAGTATATATATAGAGTATAGACAACTGAATACGATTGAACCAAAAACGCGTAAGTACCTACTTATTTTATATAATACGTTATACGACAGGACGACGCGCGACGGTGTAACTCGGTAAAGTATAAATCAGAGTTAAACGTAGGTAACAATCGTCCGGTCGACCGAAATAATAAATAACATTAAAAAGCGTGGTAGCCGGTAGGTACAGAAGTATATCTTATACTATGTATACAAAATATTATCTGAATGGTGAACCGGTAAACCACGGAAGTATAATTTTTTCGATGCATCGCGTATCGTTGCGATTTGTGAATTACAAAAGATACAACTATACGAGTATTATATATATTATGATATAGGAACGATTTATTATTTCGTCAGAWAATATATTTATTATTTTCTCGGTGTGGCAAATCTGACGTTTTCATAATATTTACGATTGTTAGATCGGTCGTCCAATTATTATAATTTGGTACAATTTTCGCAATTGAATATAATACTGTGGGTACTCATATACCACCTGCACGTGATTCTATATCTACTACTGTATAACATTATTTAATAAAAAAAATAGACCCATCAAGCTCATAGAGCAGGTTTTTCCGGAATTTATTAAGTGGATGATTTAT